GCTGACTTGTTAGAGCATTAGAGCAAACATGAAGTTCACCATCAAATTGGAAGAAAGGGAGCAGATAAGAAGAGGCCGTCCTCTGCAGGCAGTTACAGCTCCACTGTGATTTATTTCAACAAGCTGCTCATGCCAACAATTACAAATGGATAAGGGAAAAGACATCTGACACAGATGAGCACCATTTCCTAAGGAAGTTTAGCTGATGCAAATCAGTTGTCACAGCAAGGAAATCACAAAAGCCCACAAGCAGTTGCCTTTGCCAACAAGCCCTTCATCTTCTTGCCAAGAAACAGCACAGGTTCAGGACAGAAGGTCATTTGAAAAACCAGGGTGGTGCAGAGGAAGCTGATGGAGACGGAAAGCAGGAGGGAGACACAGCATAGCAAGAAGCAACTGAGAAAAAAAAAGGATGAGTCTTCTTTGGAAAGTTGGGCATGAGACTCAAGTAAGACCTGATCCCCCAAGACCTTTCAAGGGTAAACCTAGAAGGATAATCCAGAGAGGAAAAATGGAATCCGTTTGGCAGAGTTCCAACAGCTTTGTCATTCTTCCCCAATGACAACAGAGTCACCCGTTTGAATGTGAACAGCTAGTCCCTGACACGCTACATGAGCAAGTAAAAAGGAGAGCAAAGATGAAGTCAGGAGGAGCCCCAGGAATCCAGCCTGCACCAGTGTTGGGAGCCGGAAAGACTTAAAAATGCCCCCCCCAAGCCTCAAAAGTCCTCTCTGAGCTCCACCTGTTGAAATTACAACCTGCTAGATTCAGAGACTTCAAAGGTCCCTAAGGACCTTTGTCTGGTGGATTGTCTGGTGGAATTCTTTGGGTTTTTTCAATGAGAACAATCAAGTCCAGCAACACTGGCCTTTCCCAGAGGTCACACAGCACTCTCAGGATGGGTGGGGGTGAGGGTGGCAGAAGGAAGGCCTCCTACAGAAGGTGGGGCTTGAATGGCTTTTTTAAAGTTATTTTTTGATTAAGAAATATTTCTTTTCACTTCTTCCTCTCCCCCTTTCCCTCCTCTCCCAACTGGAAAAAGAAAAAAGAAAAACAACACCCTCATAACAAATAAACATTTCAAAGAAAACCAAATTCCCGTGTTGACCATTCCTGAGAATGTGTGTCTCATTTTGCAAATATAGGCAAGCTTTGGCACATGCCCAGTTCACGTAAGATGGAGGCACGCATGTGGGACATGCTGGGGACCTGCTTCGGGGAGAAGACATTCTGTGATCATCTACCACATGGGTAAGAGTAGCGTCTTTCCAGGGCAGCTAGGTGGGGCAGTGGAGACTCATCTTCCTGAGCTTAAATCTGCCCTGAGACATTTACTAGCTGCTTGACCCTGGACAAGTCACTTTACCCTGTTTGCTCAGTTTCCTCATCTGTAAAATGAGCTGGAGAGGGAAAACTGCAAATCACTCCAGGATCTTTGCCAAGAGTTTAACCCCAAATGGGTTCACAAAGAGTTGGACACAATTTAAAGAACTGAAGAACAGGAACAAAAGCCTTTTTCTGTTGGCTGAGTAGCTGGAACTGGCTGCATCTTTAAAACTAGCAGACTGGAATAGTCATTCTGTCTGTCTGTCTGTCTGTCTCCAGGTGGATCAGATTTTCTTATTCTCCCACAGCATGGGCACCATGCCCATGGATACCTTCCCATGCCCTTAGGTCTTGTGGCCAACAGCCTTGAGATTTGGAGCTGTTTCACGCGCCCTTTTCAGTTGTAGGTGCAGGGAGTGGAGTTGTCAGACCTGTGGGCTTGAGTCATGGTGACCCTGAAGCCAGGATTCCAGGCTGGCTGTTGCTACCAACACAGCAGGCAAACCCCGAGAAGCCAGGATCCTGGGACACAAGCCCTGGGATGTTTTGGGCATGCAATCTGGAGGGATTAATGCTGTGTAGGAACTGAGCTACATTTTGAACCTAATCTCACTGTCTCTCTTGCCTGAGCCTGAGATGGCGGCGGGAGATTATGCCCTCTTTATGCCCTCGTTTGTGTTCTTACTATAGTTTTGAAGTCAATATTTGTGAAAGATAAGTGGCTGTTAAGTGGTTGGTTGAAACAGGGTGCTTGGACTCTTGAAATTGGGGGACCACAGTTGGTGGGGACTTGGCCAGTGCCTGAGACAAGAGAAACTCTCGTCCTCCGGCCTCCTTAAGGGCACAGAGACCCTCGGAGGGGAATGAAATGTAATAGTCTGGTGCTCAGGCAGTCGGGGCCACTACTTTGTGGCAGTTCCAAGTACATCTCCTCTGTTGAAGCTGAGTTTTGAAGGAAGCCAGGAAGGACAGCATTCCAGTCCTGGGGCATATTTGGATGGAAGAGGCAGGGAGTTGGTAGATGGAAAGCGTGAGGAACAGAAAGAGAAGAGTCAAATGGAAGAAGACTGCAACCGGAGGAAGGGGCCAGGCTGGGAAACAGCATTCTCTATTTGGCGCAGGTCTGATCACGTCTCCTCTCCTCCATAAGCTCCAGCGGCTCCGGTTAACTCCAGGATCCAATATAGATCCCCTGACTTGCATGCAAAGGCTCCACCCTCCCCTTCTGGCCTTCCTGTCCCCTAGAGTACAGCTCAACTAGTCTGTAGCCTCTTCCACAGGCTTGTCTTCTGTCCCATGGCTGGGAACGCTCTCCCCACCTCGCCTTCCCTCTTGGACACCTCACTGGCCCCTTTTGTAAGCGTCCTTCACTGATCCCTTCCCCCAAACTCCTCCCCAGCTGTTTGTGCCTCCTTCACCTGGAAAAAAAGATCATTTCCTTCTGTATATATAGTCTGTAAACAATTCTATAGGCACATGGTGTGTCTCTCAATAGAGTGGCAGCCCCTTGAGAAGAGTCTTGCTCTTTTGGGCCTGTGCAGTGCCTGGTGCCAAATGAAGTTCAGTTAATTGATTGTCTGACACACAGTCCAGCCCTTAATCAATACTGTGGAATCAAATGAATTCAGAGTTCTCTCTGTCATGGGTTTTTATATGTGGTGATTTGGGGAGGATGAATTGGGAAATGGAGAAACTGGATGCTGACTGTTCCCAGGAGAAGGCTGGTGCTAGTGTCCAGTGGGAGGTGGTGGATGAAGCCAGTGGGCACAAGTGGTGAGCAAGGAGGCAGATTTAAGGTCGGAGATCAGTTAAATATGCCAGACATGGAGAAGTGAGCTTCCCACCAGGATCACCGCCCCCCCCCCCAAACACCTGGGGTTGGCTAAGCTCCCCGGGGAATTACTTTGTATCTAAGTCACATACACTCTGTATCCACAAACCCTGTGCTTTCCTCAATAGAATGTAAGCTTTTTGAGGACAAAAATTTGTCACTGCATGCCCAGGACCGGCAACAGTTACCTGACTGGTACTGGGAAGAGGTCCTTAATGAAGGTTTGTTGATTGACCCCTGGTTGGGAACTTTCTAGGGGATCCCTGTCCAGACCGGGGTAGACTAGAAATTCTACTCAGTAGATGGCCCCTGGGCCCATTCCCACTCTAAAGTTCTCTGCGATTTTTTAAACTGCTCGGGAGTAATTGTTCAAAATCTCTCTCCAATTACTTTTTGGTAAAAAGTCAATTACAGATTTTTACAATTGTCTCCCTTCCCCTCCACCGTCCCTTATAACGAAGAATTTGTCCTCAACCCCTTTTTCCCAGCTCTTTGAGGATCGATTCTCAGAAGCATTGGCCTGCTTTTGCTTCCCTGTGTGACTCTGGCCAGGTTCTTCAAGCTCTCTGGGCCTCATTTAACAGGTGAGAAAAAGGACCGCCCCTTCCCTCCCCCCTTCTGTGGCCCCGCTGGCGCTGGCACGGTCTCTACGTGTGCCAGCCCACAGGGTGGAGGCCTGCTCTCCAAGTGGGGTGGGATCCGTGGCGAGCATGGGCCGAGGCCTGGATTCCAATTCACAGGCAGAGCGCCAGGGCCCGCCGCGGGCCTCCATGGTCCCTGTGCGGAGAGGAACCACCAGGGATCTCCAAGCTGCTGTTGGGTCCCACCATTCCACAGAACCCCCGAGACCCTAACACGGCACACCCCCATGCACCAGATGGAGGGCAGCCTCGGTGGGGAGGAGAGGGGGCCCGAAGAGGGACCCCGCCCCGGCCCCTTCCCACCAAGGGACCCCTCCCGCAGAGGAACCCCCCCTGGTCCCTAGCCACCAATGGACCCCCACACCCTCCTCAAGCAGACAGTGGGCCCTAGGCAGGCCGCAGGTAAGTGGGCGTGTCTTCACGCCCAAGCCCCCATGCGTACACCCGAGAGGGCACGGACCCACGCCCACAAACACACGTACACATACAGGTGTGCACGGACTCGGGTACTAGCGCACCCACTCCACCCACACGCGAGGAGTAGTGAGAGAGATGCCGCGGGGTCCGGTCCGGCCCGGCTCCCGCCCGGCCACCCGCCCTGGCCTAAGGAAGGCCTCGGCTCCTCTCCCGCGCGACTCGCGCTCCGCCCACTCTGTGGGTCCCGCCCCCTCCTTCCGCAAGCTCCCTCCTCCCATTCCAAGACTCCGCCCACCCACGTAGGTCACGCCCCCTGACCGCCCCCCCCTCCGGCCCGCCCCTTGTTTACCAAGTTCTGGAGCCTCTGCTCTCGCTTCCTCCCCCAAGGCCGGGCCGGGCCGGGGGGCGGGGCCAGAGCAGCGCGGAGCTGGCCCCGCCCCTACCCCGCCCCCTGCCAGGCCCCGCCCCCCTCGGCTCAGCGGCCCTCCGCTCCCTCCCCTCCCCTCCCCCTGGGCTCGGGGCCCGGCCTGTGGCGGCGGCGGCGGCGGCGGCGGCGGCGGGGGCGCGGGCTCGGGCTCGGGCTCGGGCTCGAGGGCCAGCTCTCTCTCCCCGGCGGTGCGGCCCGGGATTCATGGTGAGAAGGCGGCGGCGGCGGCGGCGGCGGGGGCCGGGGCCGGGGCCGGGGCCGGGGCGGAGCGGCGGCGGCGGACACGGACGCGGGCACGGGCGCGGAGACGGGAGCTGGAGGCCGGGCGGCGGCTGAGCGGGCGGCCGGAGCGGGCGGAGGCGGCGGAGGCGGGGGCGGCCCAGCGCGCCCCTCCCGGGCCCCCCCCTCCCCGGGCCGCCGCGGCCAGGATCGGGGCCCATGGACGCCCCGTCCATTATCACCCAGGTGACCAACCCCAAGGAGGACGAGAGCAGCCCGACCTCCTGCAGCGGGCGCGACAAAGGTGAGGGGGCGGCGGGGGGAGGGGCATGTGCGCGCCCCGGGGGTCCCCGGCCCCTTTGGGCCGTGCGCGCGCACCCCGGGCCCAGGAAAGGGTGGGGACTCGCCCTCCGGCTCTGGACAGCTCCCAGGCCCCCGGGGCTCAGCCCCTAGGATAGCGCCCTTCCGTCTGGGGAGGGGGCTCCGGGCGCACGAGTGCGCCTATACCCTCCGGTTTCCCCCAGCCTGGCCCCTCTCTGCTCCCGGGCGGAAGCTGGCCAGACGCCTCCAGCCGCCTCTTTGCAGAGGGGCCGGGGCGCAGCGGCCATCGCCCCCCCCCGCCCTGGCTGGCCGGGTGCCCCTTGGGGAGGCAGGGAAGGATTCCGGCCGTGCTCCCAAGCCCCTACGTGGAGCCCTGCGGGGCCCCTCTCCGCCCCATCTCGGCCCGACTGTCTATTGATCTCTAAAGAGGGCAGGCACTTGGCATCCTGTGATACCAGTCTGCCCATCTGCTCCTCACTACCCCCTCCCTTTTGAGGAAGAAAAGCCCCAAGATTGGGGCCCTTCGGGGCTTCTCCAGGATCCCCTTTTTAAGAGGGTCAGAGTGGGTCAGGCCCTTTCTCTGACATATCCTCTACTCCCTGGGTGACCGACCCTGAGGGAAGCTTCGGTAGCTGTCAGTCAGTGCCCCTGGCAAGTTTCTAAGTTACTGTTAGCCCCGGGAGGAGGAGGAGCTCCCCCTCCCCACCCCACCCCCAGGCTTTTGTAATGAGCCGGCTGTTTTGGCATATCTCTCCCGCCCCTGGTTGAACCTGCCAGGGGCAGGGGGAGGGGGCTACCCGAACTGGGGCCCCTGACAGCGATGCTTTGGAAAAGTCGTCTTGAAGTCAGGCTGGGGGGGGGCAGGAAAGGACCACCCCCCATCATTTGGTATGGCAGCAGCCCTGGTCCTGTGTGGATATGTGTAGACTGTCTCCTTGGTTTAAATTCTCACCAAAATGCTGTTGCATTTTCCTGGGTGGCTCTGGGGAAGGTGAGGCACAGCCTACCAGGTGTAGGGTGTGTCTGTCTTAAAATGTGCCTAGTGAAAGGAGTTGCCTGCCCTCTGCCCTGCTCCTTGTACTGGCTGGTGGTACTTCTGGATCCAGGGGGGTGCCAGTTTCTCCCTGGGCCCATAGGAAAGCAGGTTGGGTACATGGGCCAGGGAGGAAGGCACGTGGAGGCTTGAAGAATGGGTGACATCTGTTGAGGCCCAGTGAGGCGGGCCCACCAGGGCATCTCTCTGGTGCTCTTGTCACGTTGGTCTGGGCACACACACACAACCAGGCGAGGGAGAAGATTAGGCCAAACTTTTGCAGCCTGGTGCCTGCTCAGCAGGAGCCCAGCATGCCCAGTGGCTTTGGGGCCTGGGATAGGGAGCCTCACTCAGCTGGCAGTCTGTCAGAGTGCTGAGCACAGTAACATCGGCCCCAGGAAACCTTTTCCAGTGGGGCCTTCTTGGGCCTCTCACAGCTGCTCCAAGAGCTGGGGGGGAGAGTGGCAGTCGTTGGAAGGCTGACATTTATCTGACGAGGCTCAAAGAGGCCTGTACCCAAGTGGGGTGTGTGGGGGGGAGCCACATGCTCTGCCAGAGTCTTCAGTGTGTGATTCTGAAGAAGCTTGTGATTATTTCTACCTCTTTAGCGACTCCCCAGGCCTGATGAGGGAAATTCCAAACTCAGGCCTTTGCTGTTCCGAAGGGGGCTGGAATGACCTGTCATCACCAACCACTCAGTGTCTTCAGATCTGCTTGATCAGTGTTCTAATTAGATTCACTAACAGTCTGGCTTCAGACTTTGGGGAGGGAAATTCATTTCAGTTCCGGTGGATAAGCCCCTCACTGCTGGCCTGCTGGCTCCAGGAGCAGGCCCTCTGTATGCTGGGATGGACTGGGTGTTCTGTAGGAAAGTGGAAGCTTAGCAGACAAGATTGGATCACTTCACTTGTGGAGATTGCTTTGGTGATAGTTCCAAGATTTCCCCCCAGAAGAATGTGGGTTTTAATTTTGCCTTTGTTCCAGAGACTTTCAGAACTGAGTTGTGGCTATGTTGTTATCCAGCAAATTAAAAAAAACAAACAAAACTCACAGCTTTGGAAAAGAAATCTATGTGCCATTTGCTAAGGAGGCATTGAAGTTGGTTTGTAAGCAGCCAGAACAAATTGCCTTTGGCTGACTGGTCTTGTTCCAGGCCATTTCCACCAAGGCAGGACAGCTGTTTTGTTCTTTTTTCCTTCGCTGGGCTACTCCCTTTGGGGGGTGGGTGGTAAAGCGGAAGAGACTAGGTCTGAAATACTTTGGCTGCCATTCGTCCTAAGGACTGACTTTCTTCCTGGGCCCCCTGGCTTGTCAGCCTGGTATAATGGATGGGAAGAGGCACCATTGTCCTGAGTCCGTGACCTTTCTTTGGATGGGATCAGGCCATTCAAAGGGAGAGTCAAGGAGTTTTGCCTTCCCATCTGGGTCAGAAGCCATTGTGGTCCAGCCAGGAGAAAAGCTCTCCTCCGTGGGCTCCCTTTAAACCTCCTTGTACTGCTGAGGGAGCCGCTGAGGGGGGGATTCAGTGCTAAATGGCCATCCTCCAGATTGGCAAATTGCTCAGGACAATTAGCACGTGCTTAGAAAAGTGGGGAGCTTTTTTTTCTGGCAGGGCTGAGAACTAGAATTAAAGTCTGGGTTTTACAGCAACAAGACTGACTCTAGAATTCACAAGCACTCTGTATTAAATATCTATTTCTTTTAATTATTATTTTTAAACATTTATTTTTAAAATTTTGAGTTCTGAATTCTCTCCCTACTGCTCTTCCCTCACCCATTGAGAAGGCAAAAAATGTTCCCCATATATTTCTTTTTTAAAAAAATAATATATTATTTTAGGCAATTGGGGTTAAGTGACTTGCCCAGGGTCACACGCTAGTAAGTGTCAAATGTTTGGTCTGAGGCCACATTTGAAATCAGGTCCTCCCAACCTCCTCATATATTTCTTACAGTCCATTTGTACAGGCAAAAACTTCAGGTGTAGAGAGAGGGTGAGTAGGAGCCCATGGCCCAGGATTGTGAGAGAGCAGTATGTACAAGAGGGGTAGGGTGCTCTCAAGGACAATGTGAGTGATTTTGAAGAGGAGGAGGAGGGGGAGCTGTCCAAACAGGCTGTGGCTGTACAGGGGACTCCTTCCACCAAACAGGATTTTTAAGAAGATTATGGAGAAGGTGGAAGGCAATAAAGGAAACTGAGGCCAAGGACAGAAATGTTGCCTTGGCTTATGAGGATAATGCCAGGAAAGCTGGAACCCAGGAGGAGTCCAGGCTCACGGCCAAGGAAAACAAAGATGGTTTTTAAAAAGCTGCACAGGAGGGCAAGAGAAAGATCCGAACGGATGGGGCTGATCTCAGGACACAGGGGACTCTGACAAGGAGTCAGGAAATGATTGCTGGGAACAGGAACCCAAGATGAGTTCAGAGATCAGTAGGGGAGCCCCCGCTGCCCTTGATGAGCCCCCAGGTCCCAAAGGTGAACGGACTTTCCCAAACTGAGAGTGTCAGCATCAAGGGAGAGGTGCTGGAGGCATGCCAGGGTAGCTTCTTCTACACCTGACCTCTTGGTTTTCACTTTGATTCTGAGCGAGATTGGAGACTGTGTGATTAGTGAGATGGTGAGTGGGGACTTGGAGAAGGGAGCAGCCATAGCTGGGAGCCTGCTCTGCTTCTATCACAGCAGCTCCTGCCGACTAAGCATGTTTCCTTTTGTGATGGTTAGCTCCTTCTCCTCTCTGCTGTCTCTTTAAGGTTTGTAAAGCACCTTATACACATTATCTCATTTGATCCTAGCCATGCTGGAGGGGAGGTGCTTTTATTCTCCTGCCTTTACAGTGAGGAAACTGAAGCTAAGTGACTGGTGTCTGTGGCAGCATTCAAACTCAGGTCTTCTTGACTCCATCTATCCACAGAGCCACCCAGCTGCCTCTGGATGAGGAGGAACCTGAGAAAGGCTGTCACGTCATGATGTGGACAGTGGAGAGAGTTGTGGACTGGCTCGTGGTGTCATTATAGATGAGGTTCAGGTTTTGTTTAATAGCCAGACCAAAAGCGATGGTGCCTGGAGCAGTAGTGTCTTGCAAGTAGGATTCCTCGTTTGCACCATCCGTGGCCCCACAGTATTTAACGGTTGCATCAATGCCTTTTAAAATTTGCAGAAGAAATGGATTAGGAGAGGGAAGGCTGACATGTTAGATTACAAGTTTGGAATCCCCAAAGCTGACAACTGACCTAAACTATGGGCTGAGTCTAATTAGATAAAATGTAACAGAATAAATGCCAAGTTCTGCCCTTTGGGTTACAAAAAGCAATTGCCTTGAGAGAGGATGTATAAGAGGTGATGTTCACTTCAGGAAGGCCATTGGCCAGACTGACAGTGTCAAGAAGAAAGCAACTCAGAACCACAGCCCAGAAGGATTGCATTCAATTCCTGTGCGTTTAGTAAATGCTTCCTTCCTATTAGGTTCTCTCCGATTTATCCTCTTTGTACCTTTTTGTACATAGCTATCTGCGTGTGTCTTCCCCACTAGACTGGGAACTCCTTGAGGGCAGGGACCCTGTTTTGGGCTTTCTTTGGGTCATTAATGTTCATTGACTGCCTGACTGCTCCTTCAATGCCAGCGGTCCCTGGGGACACAGAGGGAAGGTCTGGGGTTGTGGAGAACAGGTTGGCACACATGTTCATGGCATGAAGTGGGTAGAACTGATGGCTTTCTTCGAGGGTTCAAAGGGCTAGCAATATGCTGAGAGAGATCACATTGGCCCTGGAGAACTGGGAGAAAGGGAGAGACTCTGTCCAGGAGGGGATCCCTATCAGAAGTGGCCCACAGACAGAGCTGTTTTGGGGTGCTGAGGGACCTCCATCCCTGAGGGTCTGTAAATGGAAGCTCAGTGGTCATTTGGTTTGTGTTTCTGGTAGTCACTGGTTGGGGACATTGTGAGATGTTTCTTGC